AGCAGCAAGTGCATGCCCAGACACTGCTCTGGGGGATAGCGATTCTTCAGCGCCATGTCATAGCAAGCCTGTCTTTCCCAGGGCTTGCACCCATCCAGCTGAAAACGGCCCCTGCCATATCGGTGGGGCATATCTCCTGGGGTCCAGTCATCTGCGCAAAAATAGCGCGTCGATAAATCTCTCGGTAGAAGGTTTACATAGCATAAGCAGGAATGGCGTTTCGGGAGGGCTCGGTTCCCGAGAACCAGCTCTTCCCAGGATCCCTCCATATCGCTATCAGTCTTGGCAAGAGTTCTGCCTCAGGGCAAGTAGATCTTACGGCTTGCGGATGCTTCTTGACATCATTCTGAACACTGTCCCTTCAACATTGATGGCTTTTTGAAAGCAGCAGCCGCAGTGGCGAAACAGAAGTAGCGGCAGTAGTGGAGGCAGAGCAGTGCAAGCACTATCTCCAACAATGTGGAGCAGCTGCTGCTGCTGCTGCTGCTGGTAGCGGCAGGGGCGTCGTAATTGTCTTCGCGGTCGCCGGTGCGGCAGCAGCTACAACAGGAGCAATAGCTGTAACTGTAGAGGATGGTCAAAGCAAGCCCCGACTCCATAGCCCGGCCTGGCAGGTGGGCGAGGCCAAAGGACTCACAGCCAGGTCCAGAGGAACTTTGCTTCCACATGCCTTGATTTCATAGGGGGATCAAGAGCTGCAGCAAGGGCGCATCAGCTCAGAAGAAACCCCGCTACGACACTTCAACGACGTGTGGTGATTGTGTAGTTTCTGGAGTTGCCTCATGAGTAAATGATAGGCAAGGTCCTTTTTGTGCCCTTGGGTAGGCTTGGGATGCACATTACCAGGTCCTCTTTCTGGAATCTTGCCGCAGGCCAGGCAAGTTGACGTGCACAACTCCATGCACCAAACGTACATTCTCAAGCAGGGCCTCCAAAAAGGGAACCGTGACTTCCAAAAAATCCCGCCTTCTCCGCTGAAAATGAAACGGCACCTATTCTGCAAGTGTTTAATCCTGTCTTTTCACCCGGAAACGTCTGCATCCACATTGTCACCATGTGTCATTAACACCTCACATCAGCCTTTGAGATGCATTGATTGTGCAAACCCATGGCCGTCTGTCTGATTACCACACCCGGCCCAGCCGCGTAGTTCCATAATGTCGCTGCGAAGCTTGTGCCCGTCTTTGGAAAATGAAGCCATTGAATGTTTCCTCAGCAGCGCATGATCCATCCAGTAACAGGCACGCATATCATTTGTTTGTCGATTCTGTTTTTAGAGACTTGGCGCTGAAACATGGGGGGGGGTTGGCTTGGCAGCGCCCAGAAGGTCACCAAACCTGCCAGGCAGCAGCCGGCAAGTCTGACACTTCTGCACATTCTGCACTACAGGGGGAAATTCACATGGGAGCCCGTCTTGTGAGAGCTCATGCCAGGTACTAAATGCGGACTGAGCTGCTCAGAGGTGCTGCAAGGTTGCTCTGTAGGAGCTCAAATGCAAGGCCTCAGCTCTCACACGATTTTTTCAAGATCGTAGGCCCTCTATCTTACTGGCCGGAACCCTAGCTGTTTTGGGCAGTTCCATAGTCGAGCCTGGTAGTCTGGAATACTACTAAGACTGGGCAGCCAGTGAGTAGCTGGTACACCCTGACCTGAGTGCATGGGACGAGTTGGAGACCAGGGACGAGGCTCAACCCCATCTGAGCACTTGTACCCAAAAGCCGCCATCAGTCGCATCTGCTAAGCAATCGGAATCTAACAGCCATGTGCAAAGCTGGTCCTTGAAGGTCCGAAAACCTCCCAAAATTTTCCCGAAGCATGGTTTCAATGGGTATGGGCTTGCGGCTCGACATGGCTTGACATTACCTGCCCAACCCCAGGAAGCTACGCCCCACGAAGCCAAATTCCAAACACTTGAAGCTGAGCCGCTGCATTTGGATGAGTTGTCGCTAAAGCCTTCCACCTCGGAAAGACAACTTTATGGTGTGTGTGTGTGTAATAAGCAAGGCTTGCATGTGGATGCCCCCAAGTCTAACCCTACAGCGCCCCTACATGCTGGACTTACAATGCAGGCTCCTTTGTGATGCACTTGTTACATACATCTTCCACGGCTCCATCTAGCTACTCATATTCATGGTGATCATATACAAGGCGTGCAATACGGCTGAAGGAAGAGCAGCTTTAGCACTCAGCAGACTTTCAAGTGCTTGGGGGAGTATCAGCATGTGGGCTGAAGCAAATGGGGATCCAATGCATGTCCGATTGCCCTACCAAAACCTGCCAGCTTCTGAACTGTCATGGCAGATAGAAGATTCCCTTTCTCCAGAATGTCTGCCCTGAGACACCACATCACCCGCCCTTGAAGCAACTCGTTGCTGCAGCTCTCGAAGTCAGAATCTGAGGGGATCCACGCGCTTTTCCCTGGCGAGAGCCCGCCCAAGCACGGCAGAAGCGGACCTCTCAAGCAGAAAGTTGTTGCGTCCACGTGTGGTAGCTTACCCTGATTCTACTCCTCTGGAGGTGCAAAAGGACGTTCGATCTCTCCCCAACACAAGTCATCGGAAATGTTGTCATTCTCCGACAGGCTCGAAAGCTGAGGTCTTGGATTTCGTGTAGGAAGGCAATGGTAGTTTCCCAAAATGGGGGGACCAACAAGTAGACCCAAAATTCCACAATCCTTATTATGGGGACCCCAGCTAAAATGGTACCCCTAATTTGTGGCCTCTAGCTCCAGTCCTCAGCCTTCAACCCTCCAAGTCCGACCAGGGCACTCCGAAGTGCGGCGAGACTTGCGCTGCAGCAGGAAGTTGACGATGGCCTGACCGTTCCCGGATTCCTGAACTGCGCGCACAACACGCAAGCGAATGTATGTATGCATCGCTTCCTGGGCAAGCTCCCGGAACGAGGTCTCTGCCGAACTTAATTAAAGCCGAGGATGCGATCCTATAACTTCATCAACAGCATGCTGGCAGTTGCTCTGCCAGGGTGTGTGGGTTGTAGAGCGTCTCTACTCAAAGATACAGCCCTTCAAACTGATATCATCTAGCTTCTCCGGGGCAGCTTACTGTATCGAGCCAACGGCAGCTCTGGCTAAATCATGTGAAAACTGGATTCTCTATCGGCTTACTGCCGCATCACCCTGCAACTTCTCCGCGTCTCAGAAGCCTCTTCATGCTAAATCTTGATAGGACGGTCACGAAAAGTCCTGGATAGAATCAGGGCTCTCTTGCAGGCAGGGGTCTGGATCACAGGGCGCGCTGCCCTCAATGTCCCATTCACCAGAAATGCCTTGGGATATCTGTAAAGATGTCCGAACCTTCCTATGTCTACAGTTTGCCAGTTCATGACTGCAGAACTCCAGGGCCAATGCATGCACCAGTGGTCCCTGGAAGGGCTGTACGCGAGCAGAGAAGCTCCGTGTCTTCATGCTAGCTGCTAACACCAGCAGTATCGGAATAAACGGTGTCCTTTTTATGCGTGCTGTCGTCTGTGAAAGTTCTCTTGTTCTATTACGTTCAAAAGGCGGTTCAGCCAGGAGGCAGGCGCCGCCAACAGGTCTGAGCAGCCAAGGCAAAAGTACGCAAGCCCGGGCACTGACGCCCACCATGATGGAAAATGTTCTGTAGGTGTAGCAATGGCTTGCTGGTCTGTGGGATGAGAATATTTCCAGGCCGCAGAAGATCATTGTTTCCATCTACTGCCCTGCTGCGGTTTTGGAGATGTCTCAACTAAGCTGCTGGAAGCTGAAGAAGATTTTGCTCTGGCAACCTTGTATCTAACGGTATGTCTTTTGATACATTTTGATATTGTATGGAAGAGGGGAGCCCTGAGGTCAGAGGGTTTCCTGAACCCCAGGCTGCGACGAGCACAACTTCTGATCTCCCAGTTGGCAGGTTACTTCTTTGGCTTAGGGCTCGGGGTGGAATTCGGCGAGCCTTGGAGTTTCTGCAAAGTAGAGGGGTTTACTTGTTCTGCTACCCCTCACCCCTTACACAACTCTGCACACAAAAAAAATGGACAAGCTTTCCCTACAGCTGCCTCAGGCCATCATGGACACCACTGAAAGGTTTGAGATTACAGATGACCTTCACATAGCAGGGCCCTTCGGGCCATTGTGTGACTCTCTCTTGCCATTGCACTCAGCCTGAAATGACCTGTTCTTTCATTCATCCGATCTCATGCTTAGTAGCGATGTTGTGCGGGCTTTCACTGTGCTACTGATCTTGTAATGGTATGCTGCTGGCAACAAAGATCTGATGCGGCCGCAGCTTGCGATTTCCCTCAAGGACACTTTCTGGGATCCTTTTGGCCCGTGTCAAGAGCCAGGCATACCATACCGCTCGCCAAAGGGCTGTGAAGAAATCCGCCACTGTGAGCTTTTGCTCCTGTTCCCATCGCTTCAGGTCATAAGTCATCACTCCTCTGTAGTGAAAAGCTGCGCAGAGCGGAAGAATTCTGGAGGCGTTTGTATCCTCACACTTAAACTTCTCCACAGACAATGACCCTTTGTGCGCATGAAAGGGCTGAGGGCTCAGCCTACGACAGCCTCTTCAGCCAGAAGCAACGCCCTTCAAAATATGTTTGGTTCAGTGCTTCTCTATTGAGAAGACCAAGCATGTTTGAAAAAACGATGTGCCAGCGCGGTACCCTTTGAGAACAGCATGGGCAGCTCAAGGAAGTCAGTGGCTGCAGCTAGTTGCAAACTATCAGGGCTGCCATGACAAGAAGTCTCCTGAATTATTACGATAATGACTGCTCTATTTCATTGCCCCAGCAACTCAGCTGCACACCGCGCGCCGCCCGCCTAAAATCTACGGCCATGATCCCTTTCCAGGATCTTCTGGCTCATATTCACTGAAACTCTGATCATAAAGCATTTGCCATGGCAATTCACTTCGGAGATCTTGTTTCGACAAGTACTGTTGGTAGTCTCAGTTTTAACCTGTTGTAAGGACACGCGCTGTCCAATATAAGCTACGCTTGCCTCAGTTGCATCCGCGGCCTCAGAGGGCCTGAGGCCAAATCACAGTTGGGCTGTTGTCAAGGTCCAGATGCTGCTGGCTCGCCTTGCCGTGCTTCGTTGAAGGTCAGGTCTCTGTGAACCACAAAGCCCCATCAGAAGTACCGCCAAACCTGACACAATCCTGCTTTGGCCCCACCAAATCCATATGCGACTCTTGCAGAATACCGAGGCCCTACGCAACTTCCGCGCCCACTGCGAATGTAGGGCTACCGCTGTCTGATGGCAGCAATCTTGCACCAACCCAACTACCCCAAGTACTTCTAAGGAATAGCTTCGGTATCCTGTGTATCCAAAGTGGTGCAGAATTTCCGCCCTGAACGCTATGATAGTGGAGCTACATGTGCCCCAGCCTGTATCCTGAACCATATGCCACCTGAATAAGTCTACTTACTTACCCTTCGCCCAAAAAGCAAACCCCTCAGGCGCTACATTTCCAAAGCTCAAGCCAGATTTTGCAGAATCTATATTCTGCGCATGATGCAGATTCCAGGGTGGGTCTCAGGCCTTGGGTTTTGGAGGGCACCTGTTGCCTCATGTGAAGTTTGTGTGGCAAAAATTGCTGAATATGTGTGTGTAGAAATATAATTAATACAGACCCTTTGCCCTGGTACACCCGCGGATATTCCTCTGGACCAATTTTGCAAGGGCTATTGAAGCCTTTCCAGGAAAGGAAGGCACACAAATCACGCAAAAAGAAACGATACAGTAAACTCTATAAATGCTATAAGCAAGACAATACCGGTAACCTCTCTAAAACTTCCAAACTCCTGAAAGCTCACCCAGGTGTTTCGTCCACCCTGTAGCCCCGTAAATAAGAAAGGGATGACCCCCAAAAGGACCCCCTTCCGCCCTTCTGAAAACCCAGGCCTGAAGGTTCTTCTCCGTAGCTGGATGGCTAGCAGCTTCCTCCTTCATGGCCTGCATCACATTAATCCTCCCAGGGCATTCAGGTTCAACAGATTCTCAGGGCGTAGTTGACATTGTGGAGTTGTAAGGTATGTGCAAATTTTAGGGTGTCAACGCAGAAGAGGAGACGCTTGCGGCCTGAACCTTCTTGGCATGTGAGCTCCTTCTTGCGTCCTTTCATTTCAGGAGTCGCTTGCGTCGTCACCTACGGAGCCCCGTAGCTGACTTTATGTCCGCGGGATGTACCTCCGTCTCTTGCGTCTTAGAGAGGTCGGTCACAATCAGCAACTCGGGTGAGTCTGCCGCGCTTAAGCTGAACTGTTGGTCTTGGTTATCTGCTTCAGCATTGCCTCCACATATCCGTTTGGAACTCAACGTCAGACAAGTGTTGGCGCCTGTTGGTGCCCGCTCACTTCTATCCAAAGAAGATAGCCGTGTTCTTTTTCGAAGTTTAGATCCTTTGTTTGCCTCTCGGCCTAGTGTGGGACATTGCTCTTGGCGACCCCAATTCTTGAAACCTCTGAGCTTCTGGGGGCCTCAGCCACAAAATGCTGATAATTTGCAAATTCCCAACGTACTTCCACTAAAGCCCTTCATGATCCCATTTCTTCCCTTGTCCAGCCTGCCGCCTGTACATAGTCCCTTTTCATCCCTACGTCAGGGTCCTCCAACGCAGCTCCCTACTCATCATGCGAACTCGCTCAGAGGGCGGCAAGTGCCAGAACTGTCCGAAGAGCCGATCCTCAGAGCAGGGTGCCCTTAGAGTTGATCAACCGCTGTCACAAGATGTCTGGACACATGTGAGGGGTGATGAAAACCCCCCACCCATCTAAATGACCCTTAATCCTGCTATCGTTGGTTTTTACTCTTATCGTTTTACAAGGTTTCGCC